CCTGGCCCAGTGGCCTGGTGCTGAACAAGGACATTGGCCAGACAAATGCCCGTCATGCTGGGCCTTGGCCTCCCAGAATGGCACAAGATCCTGGCCCCTGGCTCCCGGCTCCTTCCAAGATGACCGTGTCCACCGCAATACTTAACAGTTGCCAACCGACCGTGTCCGATCAAAGTGATTCTCGCTGTGAATGACTGTGAGACCTGAAGAGCAAAGCCTGCCCACCCTAGAGGCTGTCTCAGGCTGCTAGGGGCATATCCTCTTTCTCTTTTAAAACACAAACTTGCCTGTGCTACCTTCTGTAGGGTATGTGAGCACAGCCAGATTTCCTATTCAAAGGAAGCTTCTTGATTTACTCATGGAGACTGTCACATCTTAGATGACACAGTCTTCTTCAGCGTTCATGTTCAAAACCACCCCACTTGACAGAGCTAGGGCTGAGGGAATGTCTAATCTTAGCAGTAAAACTCACATTTATCCTATTCCGATGACCAGTTTAGAAGAGAAGACAGCGGCAGTGGAAATATCTCTGGGACCTCTACAAGGGATTAACTCAACTGACTGTGGAATGTCAGTGCCTCACCAACTGATATCCAGCTATGAATGTGTTCTCCATCTAAAACTCAAGTGACTCTTAGAAAGGAATCACTGCAGATACCACACACGCAGAGCATTTGTGCTTCCAGTGAGGATGGCGTGTCTGGCTGTTAGCAACACAATTGTCATATGATCGCCTGATAGACAAGCCCAGGCTGACACTGGGCCTAGTCTCTTGGACACTGTGAATTTAAACCTGGCTTGGAGTTGCCATGATCAGAGCTTGCCAGGGTTGTGTGGTGAGGTCACCTGAGTCAGGAACAGAACCAGGAAGCAGAGACTAAGCCATCTGATGGGCAGACCTGTACTCCAGCCACAACATCACTGTCAAAACAAGGTCATGGACAAGCCTAGAATTCATGGTGATCAAAGGAGCTCTAAGCACTGTGGCTGAGGCCTTGCCATAATCCCAGGCTTTCTATGAGAAAAGCACATGCAAATGTTTTGACATGGTGTTGGGATATTTCACTTCAGTTTAGTCAGCTTAGGTACTGGCAAGAAAAACCCAACTGTATTTTACTCAAGCTGCTTTTATTTCGTTCGTTTGTCGTTTTTCTTTTTTATTTTTCTTCCAAGATGGAGTCTTACTCTGTTGCCCAGAGCTAGAGTGCAATGGCGCATCTCAACTCACTGCAACCTCTGCTTCCTGGGTTCAAGCAATTCTCCTGCCTCAGCCTCCTGAGTAACTGGGATTATCGGCACATGTCACCATGCCTGGCTAATTTTTGTATTTTTAGTAGAAACGGGGTTTTACCATGTTGGCCAGGCTGGTCTCAAACTCCTGACCTCAGGTGATCTGCGTGCCTAGGCCTTCCAAAGTGCTGGGATTACAGGCGTGAGCCACCACACCCGGCCTTTGTTACTTTTCTATAGTGTTAACAAGGGGTGAATTATCTCGTGAGCCTGGCACTTGGTTACCTCCCAAAGGCTCAGAACTGTGAAGTGTGAGTCCTCACTCAACAAATCCTTCTTGAGCACCTATAATGTGCCAGGCACTGAGCCCGCTGCAACACTGAACACAGCAGAGGGGTCTCCTGTCCTCACAGGGGCAACAGCCTAGTGGACAGTGTGTCCAACAGGTAAACTTGATCTGTTAGTTAGGCTTTTCTGCACAGGGCCAAGGCCAGTCTATTCAAATACTCAATCACAGAACTAAAAGCATACCCCAAATGGAAAAAGGTTTCCTGTGACCAGAGCAGACGGCAGAGTTGCAGACAGCCCTGGGATTGAAAGTGGCAGAAAGCAGCAGGAGTTTGCATTCCAGAATGGCCAGGCTGCCCCTGCTTTGATTATTATAATTCATTCTAAGAATTACATCTTACAGAAGATTCCCTAGGGACTGGGCCCTCGGCTCCAGGCCTTACCCATGTAATCTGGACATGGCAGGGCTCCTCCTAATCTGTTTGACAGGAGTCTTCCTGCTTCGCTCGCAAGGAAAGGAAGGGGAATCTGAACCTTAAGTCTGAATGTCCCTCTGCCACAGAAGTCATCTAGTTGGCCACCTTCTGCTGTGGAGGCAGGTTCTTCCAGTTTATGAAACAAGGGGGACTTTTCTGCATCTACAGGGAGACCGTCCAGTTAGCCCCTCTCTGCTGCAACCCCTCCACCATTCAATAGACAGAGGCCTTCAGGAGAGCTTCTGAAACTCCAGTGTAAATAAGGTCAGGTGGAAAAACCGTAGAATAATAGCATCATCATCATCATCATTATAAAAAGATAGTAATAACATCTTAGGTTTGCTGCCTAGAGAGATTCAAATCAAGAACAATTACTTTATTTTTCTACCCTTTCCATTATATTTTTATTCCATCTTTACTGTAGTATAATTTGCATTTAATGAACAGATTTTAAGTGTAACGTCTGTTGAATTTTATTATTTTTTAGACTAACAAAGTCAAATATATTTTAAAGTACAATAAAATCAAATGGTTATATTTTAATTAATATAAACATTTAGAGCTACAAATTTAATTATGATACATGTTATGGATTAAACGATCATGTCCCTCCCCCAAATGCATACATTGAAGCCCTAACCCCCAATGTGAGAATATTTGGAGGTAAGGCCTTTATGGAGGTAATTAAGGTTAAATTAAGTCATAAGGGTGGGGCCCTAATCCAATAGTGATCGTGCCCTTATAGAAAGGGGAAGAGACACCAAGAGCTCTCTCACTCTTCGCACAAACACCAAAAAAGAGATCAAAAAAGAGGTTGTGTAAGGACACAGCAAAAAGGTTACCACATACGCACCACAAGAAGAGGCCTCAGAATGAAATCTACCATGCCAGCATCTTGATCTTGAGCTTCCCAGCCCCCAGAACTAGGAATAATAAGTGGTTATTGTTTAAGACACCCAGTCTATGGTGTTTTGAAGTGGCAGCCTGAGCAGACTAAAACAATACATTTTGGGCTCAGTTTAATAGTTACATTTGATAATATATGTAGGCAAACCACTTCATTTTTTTTGTCCTAATAGTGGCCTTTTGCCTATACTCTTTTAAAATCAATAGGATGTTGATCCTGTGTGCTATAAATGATTTTTAATGTTTTTAAAGTGGCACTATAAATTATTACATTTGCTTCTTTCTATCAGACACGGATCCTATCAATGTTTGAACAGATTGAATATTTGCAAAGGTATTTTAGCTTAAATATGGGCTTCTTTGAAGTCTGCTTGCAAATTGATTGTGTTTGCCAGCCACCATTTCAACGCTGTGGGTAGACATACAATGAAAATGAGATTAAATCAAAAAGCAAGGCCGAATTCACTGCAAATTTTCAAAACTGCATATAATACTCCCAAGCAAATACAACCAGAAATTAATTCCATAATACGCTATCTGGAATGATTCACAAATGAAATTGTGATTTCTAATTTAGCTCAAGCCAAAGCATTAGAGGCTAATTGCATGTATACCTAGCCACGGAATCAGACTTGAGGATGGCTTCTCTGAACACATATGTATGGAAAGTAGAAAGAATTGGGAAGGAATTGAATGGACCCAACGCCCACTCTCAGCCTTCCAGCTCGTGCCTCCTCTCTCTGCTGTCCAGCAAGGCTGCTCCTAGGGTCCCTGAGGTCACCCTTGGCGACTGCGTTCCCCACTCCCTTCCCCAGGCTCTGGCCCTTTTCCTCCCTCAGTCTCCCCATTAAACCTTATGTGCCCGGTGCCATCAGGCTCCAGCTTCCCATTAGGAAACTGATCTCTGCAGGATATGGATGTCACGCTGGGGAAGGCCCTCCTTCCTGCCCATCCCACACATTTGTATTGAAACTAGTATGCTCTTATAAAGATCACGTTTAAACCAAGGGATCATTTTGATGATGGCTGGTCCAGTCTTCGGTCTCGAGCTGTATTGGTTTCATGGATCCAACATTCATCTTTATCAAGTTGATTAATTTTTTCCCACAGGAATATAAAATCGCAATACTCCCTTAAGATTTGAGATAACTCAAATAATCACCCTGGGCAACGGTAATACTAATGTCAGTAATCTTTAACTATAAATTAAAACCTGTTAGCACTTTGAAATCTAAATAAAGCTATTCTTTCCCTATGTGTTGTTAGTAGATATTATCATAGAGTTCCTAAAGTTGCCCTTGAGCAGAACAGGAAATAAATTTCTCCCCACGAAAGGATATTGAAGACTTAATAACTGGCCTACTGTACCCCACAAAGAGGCATTTCTCCTAAGGTTGAGCTTCCAAAAATGGGAATGTCCCAGAATGTATGGATTAAGAGAATTTCGTCTGAGACACACACTTTTCTGGAGGAAGCTGTAGCTCTTCCTTGTTGGCAACCCCAAGGCTGTGAATCCCTAGAGAGCCGCTGGTTCGGGACTGTTTTGTCGTGGAGAAGAGAATGTGATATAAGGATGACCGCACATCTCTCTATGGGGCAGTTAGAGTCATCTCCAAAGACAGACATCAAATCCCTGTGGTGTCCAGCCCTGGGTCACACCATGCAAGGACAGCAGGTCTCACAGGTCTCTTCCCCGCTGGGAAATCATAAGAATGCTGTGCCAGAAGGTGCTTCTTCCATGCTCACTCTGGAAGCCCGGCCCTTTCATCACTTTACTATAAACTGAAATTCCCAGAAATTAGAATCTGCATCTGAAATTCCATTAGAATCTCCACATAGGTTTGAATTCTAAAATGAGAGAAGAAATCGACTATACCCATTCTTGGTCTCAGCATCTGAAACAGCTGCCTGCTGACTCATCGTGTAAACACTGGTTCATTCCCTTCTTTCTGAAATCTGCTTGTGCGCACCCAAAATTATTATATTCTGTGTTCGACCATGAGAGCAGGACAAGCTGAAAGGCTGGAGGAGGGCCTCTGCCTTTCTCAATTTAAGTAAATCCATCTGGCTTTAGGCAGGCTCTTCAGATTGACACACTCTCCAGACGTAAATGTGATTTTATTAAGATATAGGGTGACATAAAAATATTTGTGTAATCAATATATCTTGTTCAGCTTGAAACTCTGGGACAGGTCTTCAAGTAATCTCATGTTCACAGATCAAGTAGTCTAATCAGAAGTCTTGATGAAAGTTGGAGGAGACATCATGGTAATTTACACTAGATTCATATTATATCTAATTTCTGTATGCAAAGAAACAGTAATAAGTTTGTACGAATCCTCCCCCACTCCCTTAACTTAAAACACAGGAGACCCCTTTAACTACATAATGTAATACCTCCAACAGGATGACTGGCAGTACTTCCACCTTATTGACTTACCTTCAGTATTTTGCTTGACTGAAGGGAATTCCTCATTAGAGTAAATGGCTATTCTTCGAAGTGATTCTCTTCTTGACACAGTCCATTTTAAATATCCTACTTTTCTTAATAGTTTTCAATGCAATCCACCATCAAAGGAGTTGATGAAAAGAAATAAAATGGAAATGTGGACCTGGGGAGAAGTGATTGAAGGTTCTTCCTTTAAGGGATTGGCTCCTTTTCTCTTATTACACTGTGAAATCTGAAAACATCTCTTGCAACTCTGGTCTCTGTCTTCAGGACATCCCAAGACGCACCACCTCCACGGTTCCTCCCTCTTAGATTATCCCACCCAGTCTGGCAAATGGAACAACGCTGAGATTCTTCCAGCGGACAACTGAAAAGGACACCGAAGAAAGTAGATACAGTCCATGCCCAAAGAAGCACGTAACTTCAGTTTGGAACAGGACTGATGGAAAGATCAATTAGACAATGCGCACAAAGGTAAGTAACGATCAGTGCTGTTGTACCAGAAAACAAGCACAAAGGCTGAGACTTTCCGGTGTTTGGGGAAACAGCCTCAATAAAAGGAATCTCAGAATGGATTTATCCCTCTATCCTACCTTCCATCCCTTCAACTGAGCCTTCACTCATGCTGGGCACTGTACCAAAGGCCAGCAACTCAGAAATGAGGACACTTGGTTCCTACCCTTATAGACGAGGTGGTGGTGGAGGGGGATGCAGAGGGGAGTTGTTGAGGGAAGACAAAAAATCGTGCAGCGAATTGTACCAGAAGACGGGGTGTAGGCTGCTGAGGGAGCAGAAAGGAGGAAGGAGACACGAACTCTGGGAGTTGAGGAAAGGCTGAATCCTGGATAGAGGTGGTGCCCTGCAGAATCTGGAAAGATGAGTAATAATGAGAGCAAGCAGTACAAGCCGGGTGCGATGGCTCACGCCTATAATCCCAACCCTTTGAGAGGCTGAGGCAGGTGGATCACTTGAGGTAAGCAGTTTAAGATCAGCCCGGGCAATATGGTGAAACTCCGTCTCTACTAAAAATACAAAAATTAGCCAGGCTGGTGGTGCATGCCTGTAATAGCAGCTACTCAGGAGGCTGGGGCAGGAGAATCGCTTGAACCCAGGAGGCAGAGGTTGTAGTGAGCTGAGATCACGCCACTGCACTCCAGTCTGGGTGTCACAGGGAGACTTCATCTTGGGAAAAAAATAAAAAAAGATAGGCATTTGCTGCTGCCACCTGTACATGCACCTTCAGATGTATTAACTCATTTAATTCTTTCAAGACTCCATGCGTAGATATCAGTATTATCCCCATTTCATGATGCACAGAGAGATCAAGTAACTTGCCCAAGTCACGAAGCTACCATGTGGCTGAGCTGGGGTTGAAACGCAGGCATTCAGTGGCAGTGTCCACATTCATAACTGTGATGCTAAGAGTTTGTCAGACAGGTAGGAAGCAATTTTCTGGAAGAGGGTCAGGGCCATAGACTTTGTTAAATGACAGAGCATGACATTCAGTGTCAGTAGAGCTTAAAGACCCAAGTTTTGGAAAGCAGAGGAGATCTGAACCGTAGACGTAGCTTCTAGAAGTGGGCCAAGAGCACCCCGGTCACATGCACTGGTGACCAGGGGACTGGTGGCCATCAAATCAATATGGTATGCTCTATATTTCTCCCAAAGACTCAGGAGGGGAGAATTGGATGCTTTTTTCTCATATCAGATAACTTTAAAATGTGGCTTTAGGTTATAGAATAGGATATAAAATTACCATGACATTTTTTCTTGTTTCTTCTTCTATTTGATATACTATTTAAATTGTTTATTTATTTATTTATTTGTTTGTTTGTTTGTTTGTTTATTTATTTTTGAGATGGAGTCTTGCTCCGTTTCCCAGGCTGGAGTGCAGTGGTGGGATCTCAACTCTGCAACCTTTGCCTACCGGGTTCAGGCAATTCTCCTATCTCAGCCTCCCTGAGTAACTGGGACTGCAGACACACGCCACCACGCCTGGCTAATTTTCGTATCTTTTAGTAGAGACAAGGTTTCACCATGTTGGTCAGGCTGGTCTCAAACTCCTGACCTCAGGTGATCCACCCGCCTCGGCTTCCCAAAGTGCTGGGATTACAGGCGTGAGCCACCACGCCCAGCCAAATTGTTTCTTTAATATATTTATTTATACTAAATAAAACAACTCACAGTTATATAAATTATTTCTATTTCTGAAATTCCTTCATGCTTTCTTGTCTGAGATAGTACCTCTGTCCATGCTCATACAATTAGATATTGATGCATGTGGGCAAAATTAGGGTGTTTTGCTGTTTATTTATGCGGATATGGAAGCGGTGCACACTTCGTTCCACAGCCTGCTTTGCTCACTTAATAATATATCATGGCCGGGCGCGGTGGCTCAAGCCTGTAATCCCAGCACTTTGGGAGGCCGAGGCGGGTGGATCACGAGGTCGAGAGATCGAGACCATCCTGGTCAACATGGTGAAACCCCGTCTCTACTAAAAGTGCAAAAAATTAGCTGGGCATGGTGACACGTGCCTGTAATCCCAGCTACTCAGGAGGCTGAGGCAGGAGAATTGCCTGAGCCCAGGAGGCAGAGGTTGCGGTGAGCTGAGATCGCGCCATTGCACTCCAGCCCGGGTAACAAGGGCGAAACTCCGTCTCAAAAAAAAAATTAAAAAAATAAAAAATAAAAAATAATACATCATGGACAGCCCTCTAACGTTGTGTTACTGAGAATCGCACAGAACTCCACACCGTCACTTTTGTACCATTCCCCTACAGACAGATGGTTTCCAGATTCTGCCTCTCCAAGCAAAGCTGAAACTAATACTTCTGTCTAAAACAAATACAGTTCTCCTTCCTCTGCCTTTAGGCTTTAAAAATTATACAGTGATTACTGGACTTGTTACCAAAGGCCCACTTCTATCTTCAAGGGAAATGGCTCCCTAGAATTTGCTCCTAAAAGCAAGTGGTCTGTGCAGGCCTAAAATGTCAAATTGTGTGCAAGAGTCTACTTTTTACAGGACACTATTTCCCTAGAAGACCGCATGAAACAATTTCCAGAAAATGTCAACTCCAGGCTTCATGGATAATTTCCTCCATCTACCTAATTTGCACCATTGAAACAAAGCTTTTTTTCAAACCACTAATCAGAAGTTCTTATGTTGTTTTCTCTTGGACCATGGCTCTTTAAAATAACAGCTGAAATGTCAGAGAACTCCCTAGTCCACCACAGGTGTTGCTGGACTGGGCTGTTAAGCAGTGACAGTCAACATGGGAGGGCAAAGGCAGGCAGGAGCCCCTGCAGGGCACAGGCAGAGGGGCCAGCTCAGATTTGAAGAGTGAGCTTACTTTTTGTATGAGCCTGGGTCATGCATGCTCTGTCGCCCGGCTGGAGCGCGGTGGCGCAATCACCGCTCACTGCAGCCTCAGACTCCTGGGCTCAAGCCATCCTCCCAGCTCAGCCTCCTCAGTGGCTGGGACTACAGATGCACCACCACCCCCGGCTAAGGTGATCTTCTGATTTCCCATCTCCAATGTTTAAGCCGTTTTAATATGAAATTGATGGTATTTGTCAAGGAAGACTCAAACCAAATAGAAAGTGCCTGAGTTCTGCTTTCTCCAAGCCTCTTGCTGCAGCTCTCCCTGTTCAGCAGTCAGGGCTCACTCTCCTCTGCCGTCACCACCCTGCCACTTTCCTGGCAGTTTCAACAGCTCCTGCTCAGGTAAGCCTTCCCTCTTCCCGACAACCGCCACCCCTCCGGCAAGGCTATCCACTCTCACCCTCCACTGCCTTCTCATCAGTGTGAGCTCCCTGATGGCAGGAAGTCATCCCTGCGGCCCCATCCCTGGGGCCCTGCACTGGGTCTGCTTCACACAAACACACGGGTAAGGACACAGATGGCCTCAGGCACATCACACACCTCCTGCCATGGGCCAGATGCTGTTCCAAGAGTTTCACACACGTCATTTTGTTTAAGTCTTAAAACCGCCCTCGGGTAGGCACCACTCATGTACTTTCGTGGGTAAAGAAGCTGAGATAAGGCACCTGCTTGCAACCAGGGGGCCCTCTTAGCAGCCAGACACACTCCTTTGATCTGACTTAAAATGATGATAAGCGGCTTCTCTAGGCCAGGCGTCCCCAAACTATAGCCCCGCACGCGGCCCCCTGAGGCCATTTATCCGGCCCCCCCGCCGCACTTCAGGAAGGGGCACCTCTTTCATTGGTGGTCAGTGACAGGAGCACAGTATGTGGCGGCCCTCCAAGGGTCTGAGGGACAGTGAACTGGCCCCCTGTGTAAAAAGTTTGGGGACGCCTGCTCTAGACTATTCAGCCACTCTCACAACCCGCAGCGCATTTTACGTTCTGGCCTCTCCGATGCACACCTTACTTTTGCCTTCTGTGTTCCTAGCTGGCGTCTATCTTGATCGTATCCTTTTTACATCAGTTTCATAGCTGCCCCTATGGAACTGGAGCTCATTAGTGAGCTGCCGGTGCAGCCACTCTGCTGGAGGGGGCGAGTAGAGGTGTCCCTCGTTATATTCAGTGAGCTCAAGCTGTAATGACACAGTCTGAGTCCCAGGGAGGAGTGCATCCGGTCATGCGGAGGCCACCTCTTCCAAAACCCCGCGCCATGGAGCCGGCGGTGTCCCTCTTTCCCCTGAATTCTAAGAAATGAGCATTCTAATCCTTTGGGATACAGGGAGGAGAACATCACACACCAGGGCTTGTGGAGGGTGAGGGGCCAGGGGAGAGAGAGCATTAGAACAAATACCTAATGCATGTGGAGCTTAAAACCTAGATCTCAGGTTGATAGGTGCGGCAAGCCACCATGGCACATGTATATCTATGTAACAAAGCTACACGTTCAGAACTTAAAGTCAAATAAAATTTAAAAAAGAAAGAAATGAGAACTTAAAGTAAAATGTTCCCCAGAACTTAAAGTAAAATAAAATTTTAAAAAAGAAAGAAATGAGCATTCTAAGGCTGGGCACGGTGGCTCACACCTGTTATCAGCACTTTGGGAGGCTGAGGCAGGAGGATCACCTGAGGTCAGGAGTTCAAGACCAGCCTGACCAACATGGTGAAACTCCGTCTCCACTAAAAATTCAAAAATTGGCTGGGTGTGGTGGCACATGCTTGTCATCCCAGCTACTTGGGAGGCTGAGGCAACAGAATTGTTTGAATGCAGGAAGCAGAGGTTGCAGTGGGCGGAGATCATGCCACTGCACTCCTGCTTGGGCGACAGGGCAAGACTCTGTCAAGAGGAGAGGGGAAGGGAGGGGAGGGGAGGGGAAAGGAGGGGAGGGAGAAAGAAAGAGAAAGAAAGAAATTGGCGTTCTACACATTCAGAGTTCAGTAAAAAC